TGTATAACTTGCGTCTGGACACTTCCACTTCAGCTCAGGCTGAACGCAATTCCCGCATGGCCTCTTACTTGCGCCAGTCAGGTATGCCATCCCTTGACCCCCAAGTATCGGAGCTCCTGGAGGCTCCTCTGACGGAGGAAGAATGGGACTTAGCCATTAAACAATCGAAACCCAAGAAGGCACCGGGACCAGACGGGTTCACGATGTGGTATTACCAAACGTTTAGACCCATCCTCTCCTCACATTACCTGGCAGCTTTCAATGCGTTAGCTACTGATGGTACCCTGCCCATTGACGCACTTAGGGCCCACATCACCGTGATCCCGAAGCCGGATAAGGACCCCTCCCAGTGTGGGAGCTACCACCCCATTGCACTTCTTAATGCGGATCTCAAACTATTCGCCAAAATGTTGGCGAACAGACTCCTTCCTCACATTAGCCACTTGATCCACTTTGACCAGGTGGGCTTTGTTCCATCCAGAGAAGCACGGGACAATACCACCAGGGTCCTGAATGTCATCCACTCAGCGCGCAGGGGCCCCCACCCTCTCATGGTGTTGTCAATTGGTGCGGAAAAGGCCTTTGACAGGGTGGATTTGCAATTTATAGATTCCATGCTGCATCACGTGGGGTTGAGATCACATATGATTTCGTGGATTATGGCCCTCTACACGTCCCCGACTGCAGCGGTTAGGGTTAATGAGACCCGTTCAGGGTATTTTACTATCACCAACGGCACCAGGCAGGGATGCCCATTGTCCCCACTTATTTTTATACTCACCCTAGAACCTTTTTTATGTACCATCAGGGCAGACGAGGGCGTGAAGGGCTTAATGACCCCTGCGGGATCCCATAAGGTGGCAGCTTATGCGGATGACCTCATATTTTTTGTGTCCCACCCCACGACCTCCCTACACAGTCTCCTTCGTGCATTTGACATTTATGGTGATCTCTCGAACTTTTTGATTAATCCGGCAAAGTCTGAGGCTCTAAACATCTCTCTCCCCACTGTGGTAATGGAGCAGGTGAGGGCCTCATTCCAGTTCCGGTGGGCGCCAACCTATCTTAAGTATCTAGGGGTGCGGATTACAGCGGACCCTGACAGATTGTACCAAGAAAACTTCATCCCATTATTAGGTACGGTAAAACAGGACCTGGCCAGGTGGCAAGAATTGACCCTCACTTGGTTCGGTAGATGTGCTTCTCTTAAAATGACGACTCTCCCGAGGATTTTGTATTTACTCCAGACATTACCGATCCACCTCCCCACCATTTTCTTCACTCGCATGAGGCGGCTGTTTGTGTCCTTCATCTGGGCAAGCCAGAGGGCGAGGATTGCATATCGTGTATTGATCCTACCTAAAGATAGAGGGGGACTGGGCCTTCCTGACATTCGGATGTATCGCAGGGCGACCCATCTCTCCAGACTGCTAGACTGGTGTTGTCACGGGGGTCAGAAAAGGTGGGTGGAGATGGACCTGCTCGATTCTGGGGCACCACTGAAAGGCCTAGCGTGGCTCTCTTCTCTACTCCCATCGGAGCTATCGACCCATCCTTTAATTGCCCCGACATTGACTTCCGTAAGGGCAGCGTTACGATCTACGGACTTATCCCCGCACCCGTCCCCCATGACCCCGGTATTGGGTGACCCAGACTTCCCCCCGGGACTGGGGAGGGGTCCGCTGCGACGTTTGTTAACCATAGACAAGTTTCGACTCCGCGATTTTATTGTGGACGGTCAGTGGATGCCCCTGGATGTCATACGGCACATGCTTGACCCTCCTCTTGAAGTGTGGAGCGCGTACCAGCTTCGACACTTTTTGGTTTCTGTGCCTGGGGTGGAGGGACTAACACGTACACTCACCCCCTTCGAGACTCTGTGTGACGCAGGCGCACCGACTAGACATGCTCTATCCTGGCTATATGGGCAGCTGTGCTCACCCCCTGAGTCGTTCTGTCCCCCCTTCGTGGAGCGATGGGAGTCCGAGTTGGGTAGGACCTTTACAGAGCAAGAGAAGACAGCAATCTTGGCCCTGGCCCATAGATCATCCATGGCCTGCAAATACCAGGAGCAGGGGTATAAGATACTGTCACGCTGGTACAGAGTCCCTCATGTCTTGCATAAAATCGACCCCTCAATCCCGTCGCTCTGCTGGAGGTGCAATCAGGCACCGGGCACCATGCTCCATATTTTTTGGGCATGCCCCGACATACGCCCTTTCTGGACCGCGGTGAGGACGATGGTGAACCAACTGGTGATTGAACCCCTACCTGATGAACCTGGGGTGTTTCTCCTACATATGACCTCAACTAAACTCAAGCGATACAAAAAATCCTTAACAGTACACATGTTGAACGCGGCCAGGTCGTGCATACCCTTGTTGTGGAGACAAAGTAACCCCCCCTCGGTGCGACTTTGGCTAAACATTATGGACAACATATACCGCATGGAGGACCTGACTGCCTCCATGCGGAATGAGGAAGAACGCTTCAGAGCCACCTGGATGCCCTGGCTTCACTTCATGCATTCCGCTGCATATGTGGCGGAGACGGGAGGGATCTCAGGGACACAGCGGAGCGATGGGTGAGGATGACTAATCCCGAGGTGGACATAAATTGGCTACGGAGTGAAGACCGGTGCACTGTCTGTTTCCCTCTTCTTTTCCCTTTTCTCCCTATCTGCTTATTCCCTGATCTCCTTTTTACATTACAGATCGGTAATGGGGCTAGAGACGAGAGTAACCGCATCGGAATGGACTACCCCACGCTCTCTTACCCAGTCCCCCAACACAGGAGGGCTGAGGTTCAGCCCAAGTGGGGGGCTGGGGAGTGCAGGGGATGGTTCATCCTTGTACAGGAGCTGTTTGGTTTTGTTGCCATATTGGCATTTCTAAATGTTTTGATCAGTAATTGCAGTACATGAGACATCATTTGGTCCGTACAGGTGAATCACCTCCGGACCCAGCCGTATTTCGGTGGGACCGGAGTGATTGGCTTGGGCGACCTGCGAGGGCAGGAGCAATACATCTAGGTAGTTGGGTTTCACCAGAAAGGAGTATTGTGTCCCACCCACACATATTGTCATCTGAATTTACCCAGTAATGTGACGTTAAGTCGTGATATCCGTGCCCTGAGCAATGTTTAGCCGGTTACCAATAGGATGTGTTAATGCTCATAACATTATTGGATTAATACTTTTTGTCTTTTGATTTTTCACTATGCCACTGTCCAATGCACTGATGTCTTCAATGTAATGTGACAATAAACGAAGTATTTTAAAAAAAGATCCATAGTACAAGCACATGTTATGTACTATGGATCATTTAACCCATTCATGTTAGCAGGGGAGAATTGTAACTCTATTACTGCCGTGTACTCTATATGTTGTCAGGATGCCAGGCTTGGCCCTTGCGCTCAGAGTTTTGTACGGGCACCTGCGCATTCACATGTGCGTGTGCATAGTTTGGCTCACAAAATTGTGCACCGACATGTGCCTCTGTGTGGACGTGTGCACGTTGGCATGCGCGCCAAAGTGTGCATGCGCGTGTTGCGGATTTTGACGCTAAATGGGCTATTTAAGGCTGTGACATTCTAACCTCCAGTGCTGACTGGTCTTCAGCTGTTTCCTGCTCTTGCAACCTGAACCCTGCATCCTGACTCTGATCTCCTATTATTTGACCCGGCTTGGCTATATAATCTGCTGCTCTTCTGGATCCACTTGACCTCGGCTTGTCTTCTGACCATGCTCCTGTCTGCTGTTTTGTACTTCGCTGCCCGCAAGTTGCTGATCCTGCCTGTCCCTGACTACGCCTTGTCTACTGTCCTGGTACCTCGCTGACTAAATACAGCAGACAATGCAATAATAACATATATTATACAAAGCTGCTTATCCAGGGCACATGATCAAATATACCAGTGAAAACTAAGATCAGCAAGTAAATTGTTCTGAATAAAGTACAGTAAAACCACATGCAGTTTTGCATGTTACCATTTCTTTTCTATGCTGCCAATAACATTAAATGCGTTCAGGCCACTGGCTCTAATTAATGCATTACGGCGATATTGTATTGCGACATGACCACATAGAAATGAATTGATTTATTTTCCCTACTCCTGCAGTAAACCTGATTCATTACACTCCAGGAAACCGCACATATGAGAACAAGTCTTAATGGCAACTGAACTTCAAATTTTCAGGGAAAAGCGATGTGAAAACTGTATGGCGTACAGCCTTACAAAATCATGTAATCATGATCTGGGCTCTGTACAATTCACACATTCACTCTGTTGTTACTATACTTGATCACGTGGTGAATCCCCCTCTTTCACATCAGAATCCCCCTCTTTCACATCAGAATCCCCCTCTTTAACACCAAAGTCCCCTTCTTTCACGTCAGAGGCATGACACTGTATGGAAATTTTGAGCCAGAAGGTACCCTACGGTGCCACGCCACACTGGTTGAGAAAGATTGACCTAACCTCACAAAGTATGGATAAGTGCTGATACAATCATTCTTTGCTTACATATCAGTTTTTACTTTCAGACACTTTTTTTTTGCAACATAATAATGAAGTTTCAAAAGAGAATGTTGCATCTTTTATAACCATGGCATGGATATATTTGAGAAAAAAATATTTATGTTGTAATAACAATGCTATTTGTTTGCTGAGAGAGGCTCTGCTATAGTTTTTAAATGTGTTTTTCTGTTTAATATATGTATAATGCAATTATGAAGGTTTTTTTTCTTTTTTCGGTGTATACAAATATGTAATAAAGGTTTTTGTATTTATATCTTTTTTTACTTGTCCTTGTGTAAGAACCCTCTTTTTTTCAACCCCTATTAGTCTGTGTTTAAACAAACCAACTATCTCATTGGTTCAATCCCCCAAACATTTCAATTTATGCAAAATCTATTCATGCCGAGCTCATGGTTAAATACAGAGCAGACTCTAGGAAATGGTTACTAAGCAGAATCAGTACAACCTAATCCCAAACTCAGCAGTAGACATGACACATCTCCTGTGGTTACTTTTTATTGCATCTTTAGTACAATGTGTGTTTCTTTTTATATGATTTACCAATTTGAAAGTTTCTTGCAAACTAATCTATAAGATGAATATATAACAAGATAAAATCTCTTTCTTTGCAGATGTCACATCACAAATCACAATGGTGGAGTCTGGTCCTGGGACTGTGAAACCAACAGAGACTCTGGAGCTGACCTGTAAAGTGTCTGGAGCCTCCCTCACTGACAGCACTAACATGCACTGTGTGCACTGGACCCGACAATCTGAAAGGAAACAGATGGAGTGGTTGGGGGCAATATGTCATAATGCATACACAGCTTATGCCACTTCTGTTCAGGGACGACTGACTCTGTCCAGAGACACAAATAAAGGGGAAGTATTTTTTAAACTCACTGGAATGAAAACTGAAGAATCCGGCACATATTATTGTGCTAGAGAAGCACAGTGTGACATCCCACTAAGAATAAGTGCAAAAACTGATTTACAGCTGAAAAAGACATGATTATACTGTATGGACATTTGATGAGCACAGTGGATTCATTTTTTATTGAGGTTTGATTTTAAAGTTGATAGTAGGCATGGGCGGAACTACGGCCGGTGCAGCCGATGTAGCTGCACCAGGACCTGAGGCTGTGGGGGGGCCCAGTGAGGATTGATCCTGGGCACCCCCTTGGTGGAATATGGGGCAGTGCAGGGTCCCTGTGGCCCAGAACGCTGGCGGCTGGTCTTCAAATAACTTCACCCATGACGTAGTGTGATGTAACGCTATACACCACACCTCCAAGATGGTGGCGGGCATGGACAGAACGTGCCGGTGGCCAATATATTCTGATAATGATTTTTTTATGCCCGAATATCAATTTAGCATATTCGGGGTATCTAAAAAAAAAAATATTTCGGATTTGGACGAACCACCAGATCAACTGAATTTTGTCAATTTGCAGAATGGTCCAATTTCGAATGCACATGTCTAATGGTCAGCAGGGGCGGAATTACTGCATGGTGCGGCTGCACCAGCGCCTGAGGCTGTGGGGAGGTCTAGTGAGGTCCAGTCCCCTTGGTGGAATATGGGGAAGTGCAGGGTACCTGGGGCCCCACGGACACTGCACTGCCGACCGGCTTCTCAGCAAGGGGGTGGGGTCCAGTGAAGTCCCGCTCCACCTCCGACTCCCGGCTGCATCCCTAGTAACAGGCGGCGGGAGAGGAGAGTATTTGTCACATGCCCCGCCCCCCGCACACCGTCTGGCTGGGATGTTGTGAGGCTCTGGCTGCACTTCAGTGAGTGTACCAGGTGAGTCACTGAGTCCGAAAGGGGATCGAGGGGGGGCGCACACAGGGAGATGTAATTTCATTTAATTAGAAAAATGTATTATAATAGGGAACATTACACTGTAATGTTGCTTATTATAATCAATTTCTCTGATTAAATGATTACAATGATTTAAGACTGAATACAATAAAGGAGATTTGATGCTTTTATGTAGTAAAAAAAAAAGATATCAGGAGTTCAATCAAGTGTTCCCGACTCCTGATGTGTTAAATAACTGAGAACATACTCAACAGAGATCAATGACCATATATCTCAATGGTCAATAAATGCAATTGTGGTGAGTGTCTTTCATAGATGGGACAATCACTCTTCTGATTAAACAAATCCTCCTTTTCGTATTACACGGCAGGTGCCGCTCACTCAGTGAGGGGAGAAATCCAATATAGAGAGGGAATAAATGCGCCAAATGGTAAAGTATGTAAAAGAAATTTAATTTATTGCAACAATAAAACACACTTACAAGATAGCCAGAATGAAAGTGCCTTGCAGCAAACAATCAATCGATTCCACTTAAGCAAACTGGAACCAGAATTCCACCTGCTAGTCACCTATGGTGTAACCTCATTATGTGTCATATCCAGGAAAAGTTCACATACTGACGTATAGCTAGGGCTTCCTTATATAGCCCAATCATCTAATTGCTAATTGCCTCCAGAGGCCACTAATAGTCTTCACCATTAATAATATAAAAAATGGTTTTAAAAAATCATAGCCTCTCTATACACTTTAAACATTGTCATGCAAAAGATCCAAGTGGTTTAAAACTGGTCGGCATTGACAGAGTATCTAAACATTAGAGGGGATCTAATTTAAAAATAAATATTTCCCAAAATGGAACCAAATGGATTTATGCGTTACAAACCATGCATCCAGGGGGACTTAATGTGGAATTAGACCTAAATTGTTTTTTAGCAAAAGGTTTGGTCTTAATTAGTTTGCCA